CGAACTGGGAAGGACCTTATCGCGTCCATGACACCACTGGTACCGGGGCGTACTATCTCGAGCAATTAGACGGAGAGCCATTACCACGACCCTGGAACGCTGCTAAGCTAAAGCAGTACTATAGTTAAAAACTACCAACGACACCTAGGACCCTCGACCGTCGACACTCGCGCTCGGTCAACGAAGAAAATACGTTCGATTCCGTAGAGAGGCTGAGGTACAGGCCCGACCTACGTCTAAACCGCACAACATCGTTCAACAAACGAGACCAATCAATAGTGCCCGACGTGGACACCTCCACCGAGATCCACCGTCGTAGTACCTGTAGGGCAGAACACCCAGCTCGCGATGGGCAGTTCACGCCGCGGGCAAATAACCCCGATCCGGGTGATATACCCGAATGAGCGGCTCATTCCGCACGCCTGAGAATCTCGAAGAAACTCAGGCTATCTTCAAAAGGGTCGAAAACAAATCTCTCCTCTCGAGGTCGTCACTCTGATAAATTGGGTCATCGAGTGGAGCCCGAACAAAAGACGGGCAAAGTGTGCCAACAGTCACAGCCATACACGGGCACGACCCGGGCACATAACTCGGGCCAATCATATCGCAAAATACATAAAATACATACACGGGCAAACAGTCAAATGGAAATAAATTCATTCAATACGCCCGTAGGCAACAAAGCAAATAAAAATAAACCGACCAAGAAGGCCGGCGATGTTCAGGAAGTACAAACCAACGGGCACGCAGGCTCAAAAAATACAAACGGGCACGCATGCCCAAAACAAATATCAATAAGGCACGCAGGCCCATCATCCTACAATCCAGTTTCCCCGGAACCATCATTGTCGACAACAGGAGAGTCGGGCGGGGGCACGATCGCGCCATCCACGATCTGATACATGTAGCCCGTCCCTTCAGTGATCAAACCGGGATTCAGCAAGGAAAGCTGGCTGACCGCGGAGTCGAACCCCTCCTCCATAGCGCCGACGCAATCTGCTTCGAGGAGCCAGATATGGGCGACCAGCTTCGATCGACTCTTCAAAGCGGCTATATCCTCCGGCTCGTCCTCGGCAGGAAGCATGGCGACTTTCAGGTCCTTGATCTGTTGGGTTAGGCGCCCGATGTCGGTCTCCAGACGCTCCCGGTCCGCACAGTGAAGCTCTCTCTCCTCGGCTAGCTTCCCCGAGTTTTCCTTCTCCAGGGTCAGCATCTCTTTCTCGGCAGCCAGCAGCGATGCCTGCTCGCGGAACATCTCCTCGGAGCGTTCCAGGACAGTCCTTAACTTCCGCGAACTCGAGGTGAAGGCCGCTTTCTCTTGTTCCAATTCTTCAATGCGGACAGGATCCCCCCCTTCCTCGGACAGCACAACGGCCATTTCGACCATTTTCACCAGCCCGGCCATATTGGCGGCCAGGTGCCTCCTCCGGTCCTCCTTACTCATCCTCCTGATAGTCTCGGCCTCATCGGCAACCACAGACAAAGGGAATCCCTCGAAGAAACCCTCCTCTTTGAAGCAAGGGGGCAACCCGAAGGACCTTACAGCGCTGGAATCCTCGCCGACCGCCGGCCCACTTTCCACCCGATTCCTTTTTCTCGGTATCAGGTCGGCCTGTGGATCGACCTCCTGGACCTCTGGGGTCTCTTCCGAAGCAGCCCCCGAGCTAGGCGACGAATCCACCCTCACCACATGAGGAGCGCCCAGACTATGCGGCGGGCCCATCCTCGTTGCTTGGGGAGCCTTCACCACCCTCTTGCCCCGCTTCTGGTCGCAAGACAGCTTCAAGAGTCTCTCCCGTCGCCCGGCCATCGAACCTGCACAAAATAAAAAACCGGGTTAGTGTCGAGCAAATACGCAAACAAATGGAAAGCAAAGAAATTCAAGCAATAAACGACCTAGCAGACGGGCAGCCTGCCTGAATGACTGGCACTCCACGAGTGCCTTACTATCGATCGGTCGGGCCTCGAATGTCGGATAACCCTCCTCGTCCAGGACATCATCCCCCTCCCTCGTAGCCCACTTGGCGGGGTGGAAGTTATCAACGTACCGACAAAGAGTGTCGTAAGCTTTCTCATCCTCGGAACCCATGTCGCCCGCAGAAGTATGATAATACCCAGTTCCGTGCTCGTAATGCCTGGAAATCCAATGCACGGGGAACCTGGCCGTGCGCCCCAACACCGGATACCCGGCGTTGTCTAAAAGTGCCTCCCCGTCATCGTCGCTTATCGGCGCTTCCTCCTCGTACAGGGACTCCAAAGCGGCTGTGGTAACCGGCCTCACGACATACCACTTGTCTTTAAAACCCCGCACGGAGTCCATGTACATCTTGAATAGTCTCTTCGACTGTTTCAAGGAGACCCAGCTGTGCTTTCCTTCCCGGGACTGGCGCTGCAGATGGAAGATTCTGAAGAAGAGGGGTATAGTCGCCCGATCCTCAGAAAACGACATGTTAGCTCAAACGCCCGGATAAAGGCGAGCGAGTTCGGGTGTAGCTGCGACGGGGCCAACCCCAAATGGGCGAAGACCCCCGCCTGAAAGTCGCTGAAGGGCAGCTGCAACCCAAGGTCTTTGAATGCAATTTCGTACATGGGGAAACTGTACTCGGGGAACACCGAGCAAATCCGAGCAGTGGAGGTCGGTCGTGTAACGACGAAATTCTTTTGAAAACCAGGCTGACCGTTGCTCGCCTCAAGGACAGTGTATGGCTTTCGGCTACGCCGACTATAGACCGAGGCGATTCCTCTAGGCTCGGCGCCCACCCAATCCAACAAAGGGTCTTCTACGGTGTCGATCAAACTCACAGCCTCATCGGCACTTTGTTCCTCCCTTTCGGGGCGTCCAGAAGAGCACGGCTCGTCTGCCATGGTTACCTACAGAGCACGGGAAACCAGTCAATTGGGCAAGAAACCATACGCTCGACGTAACGGACAAGATGGAGTGCGCGACAAACCACGTCGCTCTACGCACGACCACAGTTGGTTTGAAACAAAAATAGCAGTCGCCTCCCCGACTTCCAGATACCTCGACGGGCCCTTCTACAAGCCGCCTAAACAAACCAACTACGCGGTCACTCATGAATACGCCGACCCGGGGTATGAACATGGCGAGCAACATCATAAAGCCTAAAGCCAGAGCCATGAGCATATCGGGCACGATCCTGAATCAGGCGCCCTGGATCATGAAGACCCCGGGCAGCACTGCAGATTATAATCTAAACCATGCATCTATCGGCCACGAGCATGTGTTTGCCGACCCTAAGCATGAATTTGTCGGGCTAAACATGAATTTACCGGGCTAGTCCCACGCGCACAGCCTCTAAAATGTCTAAAAACGATGAAAATCATGCATCACAATAGAAAAACAGAGAAGATAAGTCACTTACTTGGAATCAAGGAGTAGATTCGGCAACGGAGGTAAGGAATCGGTGACAGAGATCGCGTTGATGCTATGAGAATCTGGAAAAACAACAGCAGCAGTAGCGCGAAGAGTAGTAACGCGTTATGGGGCCCAAGGATCCTATTTATAGTGATGACGTGGAATACCAAACGTCACCCCGGGCAACCACATAGTTTCTCTCCTCGACGCACGGCTCCCCTAGGTAATAATGACCCTATCCTCATAGGGTGGCGGCACAGTTCCCAAAAGATACCTCGCGTGCCCGACAGGCGCACGCCGTTGAGGAATCCCCGAGCATTCCCCGTGAAGGACTCGTCTCCGAGCACGATACGAGGAAGCCCTCGAGGAGCTGTGTCTCTGACCCGGGCACGAGGCCCCGAAACGGAAGCAACCTAAGATCAAGCCATGGCTCCTAACCCAAGGAACCACGACTTGGGGGGCTCATGTTCTGGACTGGGCCCGACTGGCCCAATAGCATTGACAAGGCCCAATCCAAACGGACTTGCTGGGGGCCACACCGACCAAAGGGTCACAGTCGTGCCTGACGTGCTCCCTGAGGCTACTTGCTCGACCGCCTACTGTCCAGCTCGACATCACCCCGAGCACCCCTCTTAGGGCAGACTCGGTCCACTACACTCTCACGGGACTCCGAAAAGACCGCGTCTCTGTCCGCCCGCACTTCACGCAGAACATCCAGGGAGGGGACCACATGCGGGTCCCCACTACGCACGTAGAACCTGGCAGTTCCTCCATTGGGTCAAACCTGCCCGGCCCAATGAAGAAACCTTGGCCCAGCGCTGGGGGCTATAAATACCCTCTGTTTCCAGAGGGTCAGGTATTCATCATTCTACCCATACTCTTACTATTGCCTGCCTGTGCTCTTACTCACTTCAGTATCGGAGTGTCTTGCAGGTACCCCCCACCTCGTTCAAAACTTTCAGCTCGGAGCCAGCCGTGACGGTCCAAGTTTGATCAGGTTAGATCATATATATATATATATATATATATATATATATATATATATATATATATATATATATATATATATATATATATATATATATATATATATATATTTGTTGGAGCTAAAATATATTTGAATCATTATTTCATACTTAAATTGAAAATGTGTATGAAATGAAGTGCTTTTGCAAGTGTTGTATTCATTGCTTCAAATATTTGTATCTTCTTATTGATTGTGGTCGGTTTAATTTTTGGAAGCATCAATTGATATTAATTAATGCTCGTTGTTGTTTTTTTTTTTTTCTAAAAGCCAACTTTATTAAAGGGCTGCAACAAAAAACACCAGATAAAAACAGATACAAAACACACCCATACACAAAGACATACTGTCATGAGAGTATAAAATTCAAGACAGCACCCCAGACTAGACCCAAAATTCATCCTTCTATAAACTTACAATACATATAACATAAGTCAAACCAACAATAATTCCACCATAATCACCATCCCCTAACCTCACTACAGCTCCGACGCGGAGTACACCAGCAACATACGGCTCAACACTTGCCACACCAAGAACACGCAACACCTCTAACGGACAGCAACAGCCCGACGTCACTCGGCATCTGCGGGAAAACCGCTAATCTGTCCAGCCGATACACACTTTTGGATTTGAAATCCAATGGAACAAATTGAAACTAAATCTCTTGATTTTCGGCTTCAGCCATCTCCAAGAACCAGCTTGAATGTCAAAAATAGCAGATCTGCTAGACATTTCATTATTTTTAAAAATCTTCTCGTTCTTCTTTTTCAAATGCACCAGATATCTGCAAACCAGATAGTGGCAAACCTCTCCTTGAAAACACTACCACGCTGTGTAATACCTGCAAATTGGACAAAGTTCTGCCACGACGAGTTATGCATAGCAAACATAAAGCCAAGCCATCTGAAAATCTCGCTCCATGTTGCCAAAGTCGATGGACATTCGAAGAAAATATGCGAGATATTTTCCTCTTTAGCGCAGTCAAACGGACATGAATTTTGAGATTCATCTAAAATGTCCCTCTTTACCAAGTTATCCCTAGTCAGTAGTCTATTTTGCCAAACTCTCCATGCAAGAATTGATATTTTAAGAGAAATAAGACAATTCCAAGCTACCGCCAAATGTTTGATAGTTTCTACTTGCGTCACCTCACTCTTCGAGATCTCTTAATATGCTTCCTTAACCGAATATTCAACCTTTTCCCACCTCCACATGTCTTTGACCCCATCCCTTAAATGAACTCCACCTATTCTACTCTTGATTTCCTCCTCGAGCCTAATATTAGGACCTTCCAGCGGATATTCCCACACACTGCCCCACTCTGATGTCTCATTGACTCTGCCTAACGCCTCTCTAACAGAAATTAATTTATCTTCAACCAGCCTGTATAGATTCAGGTAGCTACACTTTAGGCTCTTTTTATCCAACTACAGGTCCCCCAAAACGAAGTATCCGCGCCATTACCAATTTCAATATAAGTATTATTTTCAAACTAATTTTTTCCGAAGTCGTTGTCCTCTTTATCAAGAAGACACAAGTCTCTCCACCATAGCGAATAATATTTGTCGTTGCTTCTCCCTTCCTCGCTCCGCCCGTATTTGCACTCCAAAATTTTCGCCCAAAGCCTATCTTTCTTCGTTAAGATCCTCCACTTCCACTTACCCACCAATGCTAAATTAAACGTCTTTAAGTCTTTAACCCCCAAACCCCCTTCTTCCTTTTCCCAACATACTTTCTCCCACTGCACCCAGTTTACCTTCCTTCTCTCCAATCCCCCTCCCCACAAAAAGTTCTTGAACAATGATTCCAATTTGGAAATAATTCCTACTGGAGCTTTGAAGAAAGATAACAGATAAATTGGAATTGAGCTCAAAATTGATTTTAACAGTACGATGCGACCTTCGATTGATAGATGTTTATTATTCCACTATGCCAATTTTCCTCTCACCGCGTCGATCACACCCTTCCATAAACTCAGATTTCGGTGATTCCCTCCAACTGGGATTCCAAGATATTTGAAAGGAGTCCCACCAACCTTCCTATTCAGCACAAATTCCACCTCCACCAGCCATACCTCATAAATATTAATACCAATTAAACAACTTTTGTAAAAATTGACTTTCAGTCCCGAAACCAGTTCGAACAACTGCAATATTGCCTTGATCGCCCAAACATTTTTCCAACTTTTGGTACCCGTAATAAGAGTGTCATCTGCATATTGAATGTGCGAGACAAGCACTTCCCCGTCGCCGAACATGTAGCCATCTATTGTACCCCAAATTTACCCTCCCATTTTCACACAAGACATACTCCTAGAGGTCCTCAATTGCTCAATTTGACTAAGGATTGACCAGATAAATCCTCCTCTTAAGACAATAAACCTCAAACTAGGATTTCACTCCTCATCAAGATGGTTGAGTTCCAAGGACCCAAAATGTTTTCCATTATCCTAATATGTCCTCAAGATCATCCATGCCAAGTTTCATGCCTTACACAACAAGTTTGCTCAGTCAACTGCTCAAATGCCTGAAAATCAACTGTACTAGGTCAAAAGTCAACTGTGGCCCAAATACAGTCAAACTTCAATATTTTTGGTCAACATCAACATCTTGAAGTAATATCCATCATTTGATCAAGGGTTGATCATGATTCCTCAAGAAATGCTCCCAACTCTTCAAAAGTAAAAAATGGCAATTTAGGATTTCTTTAGGAAAAGTCTACCAAACTTTGACCAGACATAACTTTCTCATACTTTATCATAAATCTTCCAACCAAATATTATTTTGAAGAGAATACAATTCCCTATAACTCCTCTTCAACCCTCAAAGTCAAGAAATGCCTCAATAAAAAAATACAAGCTCAGACATTATAGGTCATTTCAAAAAGTCAACAAAAACACCTTTTGTGTCAAAGCTCCTTACATGAACATGGAAGATCCAATTAAGATGAAACCAAAAGGTTTGTTTAGAGAACATTCTCAGCTTTCTAAAAAGTCTAAGAACACCCTCTTAGGGTTAAAATTGAGAGAGAGATGGATTGTCAAAGTTGGCCATTTTTGGAAATTTGCATAAAGTCAACAATTCCCAAATTTTCATTTTTTCCAAATGGGCCAAACTTTTTATACTTGAGACACATTCCTAGCCTGGTCCACGACCCAAACACCTTTCCATGCATCATTAGCTTTATTTAATTTAATTTAATTTAATTGTAATCCTTTAAAAATAAATTAAATCAAATAAATGATATAAAAATAATGAAGATTTGTTTTGATTTGATTTCGCATTGAATTACAATCCAAATATGTTGTATAATACCAAAAAAAATCGTGCAAAGGCTAATTGATTGGAAAAGATCATGATTTGGCTTGTTTTAGAAACAAATAATGCAAGGAACAAAATCAAATCAAATCTCAATAATTTGTAAAGATACAGTCCAATTTTGTTAACCTAAATCAGTCTATTATAAGTACACAACATTGCCAAAGCATAAAAAGGAGGATTGGTCGTGTAAACTGCAGGAAAAAAACTCAGTTTTTGGATAAAAGGTGAGAAACAGATTCCGTTGTACAGGGCGATTCAAGGTGTTTCAAGGCCAATAATCCATTCCTGGAAATCTCCTAAAACTAACATCATCATTTGCACGCATCAAAACACCTAGAATCACTCCTTACAGATTCACGGTTTGCACACATGTTCTTGAATTTGATTTTTACAATTCACGCATGATAAATGATTTCTAAGCATATATTCATGTATGTATCATCCTTTAGAATGTGTTTGCATATTTAATTATGTGTTTTGATTCTTGTTTGATGAAACGCCATTGCTAGGGTTTATAAGGTCGTTTTAGGGCTTTCAAATGCATGAACAATTGGCTCTAAAGATGGATACCATCATGATCAGAGGATCAAACCCAATTGATCCATGCTCTGAATCTAATTTATGTTGCTTAATCATGATTTTTGAGATGCACAGTATTGTACCCCAAAATTTTCCATCTCACTTATCAAGAATTTTCTCACAAGATCTCATTGGGCTCAAGACTGCACTAGGGTTTGATCAGCTCAAGACACCTCCTTATGCATTGATGATCAAAATTAGGGTTTGAGTTTGCACAAGGATTTTTGAACTATCAATGTTTCATATGACTTTCATGGATCATTATGGACCCCAAAGATCACTCATGTCAAGTTTCAAGCCTTGGATCACACTTTTGATCAGTCAATTGAATAGTTGACCTAAAAATCAGTTGTATTGGGGAAAAAGTCAATCATGGCCAATTTACAGTCAAACTTCATAATTTTTTATCCACAACAACATTTTAGACTCATATGTATCATTTGATCAAGTTTGGACCATAATTCCTCAAGAAGTTTGATCAAATCTCCAAAAGGGCAAAATGGTCAAAATTAGGGTTTTGACTAGGAAATGGCAATTTCTGATTTTTGACCTAGCAAATGGTCAATTGGTTTAAGTAATGATCTCAAGAGTCCAATTGCATCATTTTAACCTAATGACATGATTCAAAACATTGCAAATCCTTTGGATTGACAAATGAATTTTGCAGTCAACTGATCAAAAGTCAATTGTATACTGAAAAGTCAAACTTTAACTTTTTGGTCAAATTCAAGTGCCAAAGATCACAATTCATTAAAACATGTAAAAATAGGAAAATTATTCATCAAGAAATCAAGAAATCAAGATTTCATTTTGAAAAGTCTAAATTTCTAAACTTAGAAATTTTTTCTAAGTGTTGAAAATTTCTTATTTTTTCATAACTTTGAGCAATTTTTTCATTATGATACAAGATGATTAAAAGGAAACTTCCAACATGAAAGTTGTATATATCCATGAAATCTACAACTTTTCTTCACACAACTTCTTCCAAAAGTGCTTGGATCTCAAGTTATAATTTTGTGAATACATGCTCATGAACCAAAAAAGACGGTGAAATTTTGCCCTAGTTAGACAGATTTTTGACCTAACTTCATGGAAATTTTTCACATAGTTCCAAGGGTAATCTTCAAAAGAAATTCAAAGATGGGTTTTAGATCACATTTCAAGATTTCTAAAATGTCCAAGAACTCCTTGAGATCATTCTTGAGCAAGGAGAATCGAAGGCAAGAAGTTAGGGTTTTCAAACTTGAATTATAAGCCATTTTGTGAAGAACACTTGATCCAATCTTCAAGCATGATGTACAAATCTTGCTTTGCATGATTCAAACTTGCTAATCACTCAATAGTTTAATGTTTACACAACTGATAGAGCCTTTGTCCAAAACATTTGAGCCATTATCCAAGTTGCATTTCCATTTTGGGAAGAAAGTCACCACTTCCATTTTGGAAAAGTGACTTTAATCACAATGTCAACTCTTCTTGAGCCCATACATTGTTGTTTCTGACTCCAAAACATTTAAAAGCAAGAAGCAACATATCTACAGCCTGCTAACCACCCTACAAATCCTTGTACTTCACATTGAAACCATGTTTGTCAACTTTGCTTCAAAATCAAGTAACCAAGCCATAACATGTGATTTCAATTTCTGAGTTTTTTCAAGCCTCAAAACCTCTTGCCTATAAGTACATACACTATTTGCAAGCTAATGGACGAGCTTGAAGACCCTAAAACTCTCCAAAACACCATTATTGCACAAAACTGCCTAACTTGACAGTTTTGAGCCAAAACTCATCATCTTCATTTTCACTCGTACGTTTTGAAAACCAATCATTCAAACACCTTCTGTACATCATACCAAAGACTTTTGGTCCAACAAAGATAGGAAGTCAGAAGAAGCAAATATAGTAAGAGGAGAGTCTGATGATGAACCTGTGCTATTGTTAGCTTCTGAACCTGATGATCTGAATTCATCAAAAGGGTGGTATATGGACACATGGTGTTCAAATCATCTTACTGGAAACAAGAAGTGGTTGGTTAATTTTGACTCTGGGAAGAGTACAAAGATCAGATGTGCTGATGATAAATACCTCAAGGCAGAAGGTATAGGAAATGTAAAAATCATTCTAAACAATGGGAAAGCAGCGGTGATCCAGAATGTTTGGTATGTACCTGGCATGAAAAGCAATCTGATGAGTGTGGGACTTCTGGTTGAGAAAGGTTTTTCAGTTACCATGAAGGACAATCTTCTGAAGCTGTATGACTGTAATCAGAAGCTGATTATGGAGTCAGAACAGGGAAGGAACAGAACATTCAAGGTGAATGTTAGAACTGTAGACTCTGAATGTCTTAGTGAAACAAGTGTTGTCAAGGAGAGTTAGTTGTGGCACAAAAGATTTGGCCATCTGAATTTCATAAGTTTAGGGCATCTGAAATCAAAGAATCTGGTACATGGAATTCCTACAATCAAGAAGCCTGAAAAGTCATGCAAGGTGTGCATGGAAGGGAAGCAACCAAGATTACCATTTGCATCAGAAGTAGTTCCAAGAGCAAAACATGCTTTGGGAGTAGTACATTCCAACGTGTGCGGTCCGTTTCCAGTAGCATCAATTGGAGGGAATAAATATTTTGTGTCATTTGTTTATGAGTTCACCAGAATGACATGGGTATCTCTCATAAAGTTCAAACACGAGGTGTTTGCTGAATTCAAGAAGTTCAGACTGAAGGCTGAGAATCAGAGTGGCCAGACTCTGAAGATTCTTAGAACTGATGGTGGTGGTGAGTATAACTCCACAGAATTCAGAAGTTTTTGTGAGGAGAATGGAATTGAGCATGAGGTTACTGCTCCCTATACTCATCAATATAATGGTCTTGCTGAAAGAAGAAATCATACTCTGCTAGATATGGTGAGAAGCATGCTGAAAGAGAAGAAGCTTCCTCATACTCTGTGGGGAGAAGCTGTTGCAACTGCATGTTATATGCTCAACAGATGTCCAACAAAGAAATTTAAGGAAATAGTTCCTATTCAGAAGTGGACCGAAGATAAGCAAAGTGTTAGTCATTTGAAGGTGTTTGGTTCTGTATGTTATAAACATGTCCCAGAAGCCAGAAGACAGAAGTTGGATGATAGAAGTAAAGTGATGTTGCTGATGGGGTACCACAGTACAAGTTCGTACAAACTTTATTATCCAGAAACTAACAAAGCTGAGTTCAGCAGATACGTGATTATAGAGGAATCAAAAGTTTGGAATTGGGAAAAGTATCGTCTTAACTCTGATGAGAGAACTTCTGAATAAAAGTCAGAAATGCATGTTTCTAAAGTTGGTAAAGACTCTGACTCTGAAGAAGATACAGAAGGAGAAG